AGAAAAGGGAGTCAAATTGGTAAGAAAATATTTTTTTGCACCACTGAGTCTCAAGAGAGTCTCACGTTTTGGCAATTGCTCATATACATCACTAAATAGGCCATTAAATCAAAACAGGTGAACCTATTCGATAGTTCTTCATCTAATGAATGAACTCCTGGTAATAGAGACTTGTTTTCAGCAATTGCCGAAAAGTAATTTGACAACAAAGTCGTCGTAAAGGAATGTGCCCGACGACTACCAGTAGCTCATCAGTTCCAACTGCGAGCCGCTGGGAGCAGCTTGACGAAGATAAGGAGTTAAGACCAAAATTATTCACATGAATGAAAGAAGCTGGAGAAACCACTCTGCCAGTTTCTTTTAAAAGAACCATCGATGCAGACCTGCCAACGACTCCAAAACCAAAAAACAGAAGTTTTAATAGGAATCCTCCCGGGGGAGGTGGGGAATCAAAATCTCCAGAACCCCAGTAAACCCCAGTAGATAAAGTTTATGTGTTGTTACAAACGGACAGTGGCAAATAGATATGTGCAGCAAATACACATGATTAAAGAAGTGTATTTTTATGTCACTTCAAATAAGTCACACAAATACTGCATTTACATTTAAATAAAAATTTGTATTTTCATGTTATTTACGATAATAAGTTGCATGTTTTCCGATGGAAACAGATTCGAGTAAAAACAGATCAGGGTTTTTCGACCAACGCAAAAAGAAAACCAGAGACCTCTGATTTTATCAGAGCATTTGGCAGGTCTGTTAATATATACATGTTTAAGTTAGTCATTACGTGTCATCAGAGGAAGAACTGGGTCCTGCAGCAAAATCATCAACTGCTGACACAGCAGGGGTATCCACCATTACGGACTGGTCAACGGGTATGTCCCCACAGGTAGATGCCAAGCCCTCTTTCCTTGAAAAGGTCGACAGTGAACCTTTCTTTTTCAGCGCCCGCTTCTTCCTTATCGGCACAACGTCTTCAATGGGTGGCTGCCGCTTTTTCTTCCTCCCACGACCCGACTTTCGACTGTGGAACATGCATATAATGAACACAAACATCAATTAAGAAGCATACAAGCAGTTAAGTACAGGAACACATTAAACTATGTGGCATATGATGTGAGGTATCGTGGTGACATGAGGCGTTCATCAAATAATGCAACCAAAGAAACCAGCCTTTTTCTGCTCATTTGGAAGTTTTTATTAATTTTTCAATTTTAGGGGTAACACCATGTGTCCATTCAAAATCACATTTCTGTGTGTATTTTACTAAAAAAAACTTGCTTTAAGGCACTAAAAATGAACATTTGTTGTTTCCAAGGACTCAGCTTTGGAAGTCACCAAACTTTGGAGGCCTCTTTCTCACTAATTTTCCCTCTTAACTCATTTAGTGCTACAGACCAGAAAACTCTCAAAACCCGGGCCCCGCCCACATTCTAGCAACAAGTATATATTCTCCCATTCTGCCCCGTTATCTTTAGAGAAAGAATTACTCTATCTAATCCATACCAAGTTATTTGAACTAATCATGACGCATTATGGGATAGGGCAAGGAGACATTTTTTTCTACTCAACAGCCATTGAGCCCACTAGTTTTGATTGCTTTTCCTGGGTGGACCTAATTTCATGTTGTCATATAACAAAACTGCCCAGTATATGAGAGGAGTTCACTGTTGGAGCGCTCAGCATTGAATGAGTTAAACCACACAATCCCACCTCTTTCAATTGAAAATATTTCAAATTCTAATCAAGATAGATGGGTACTTTTTTCATCAAAAACAAGACGAATGAATAAACTTTAAGATAAAACCATTCACTTCATTTGCCCAAAAATTGATGAGTGCATGATTTCACCAAATTGTGACACATATTGTTGCAGCACATCTGTTGGCATTCAAATATTCTGTAGCCAAAAGCCATGTTTAACTTCATTTTGTTAAAGACTAAACTGTTCTTTTTCATATATATAACACTATAGAGGGGTAACAAGGAGTTCTGTTCATGTATTTCAGCTGATAAAAGGGCATTTTGCATTGTGCCATTGCACACATTAAACTTACAAAAACATGAATGAAAATCAAATTTCCATAATGAAAAGCAAAAGTGCACTGTTGTTACATTGTACTTTTGCTTTTCATTATGGAAATTTGATTTTCATATATGTACAATGTAACAACAGTGCACAGAAATCTTACCAGGCTTCAGAGGAGAAACTAGGCGCTGCAGTTCTATCTGCCGAGTTCTTCGACATGGTCACAGACTCAGGTTCTAGAGATATGCTGGAAGCAGAGGTGCCGGGGGTCTGCCCAGAGGTACTTGGCCCACTGACGGGGATATTCTGTCTCTGGTCTCTCAGCCCACTAGTGCCGGGAGACGACAGGGAATCTGATGGGTCACTGTTGCAGATAGATATGGTAGTACACTTAAGTTTTCTTTTAGTTTTAGTGAGTGGTTTACAGAACTTGAAACACATTAAGTCATATAAGGGCCAAACACTAAAGGTGTTACAGAAGAAAAACAATCATTAAAAAAGAGGGAGAGATACGGACAATAGATATTTGATAGGAAAGAAGGTGCAAACCACACCAGAGCACCCGCCAACTACCTACCTTTAGTTTCCGTATTTTACTTTCAGGTCAGTTTCAACACTGCCAGAGATTAAAGGTGTTACAGAAGAGTAACAAACATTAAAAAAGGAGAGATACGGGCAATAGATATTTGATAGAAAAGAAGGTGCAAACCACACCAGAGCACCCGCCAACCACCCACCTTAAGTTTCCATATTCTAATTTCAGGTCAGTTTCAACACTGCAAAGTCATTTGAGATTTGAAATAACGATTTTCAAGCTTAGTATTACGGAAAGCACATATTGACACTAGCAATTATTTACGACAAAAGAACACACAGCTTTTATTGTTGCTCTTCAACCACCTATGAAATAAAGAAAGAAATACACTGACAGTAAAAATAATGACAGTGATATAATAAGGTTAACAAAAATCACAGGCTTGACAAGAAGACAACAGACAACCAAAGAGAATATAATCCCTACAGGGCCTGGAAACAGATGCACAGACATGCTGCACCTCAAAATAAACTTTTTGAGGGTCATGAAGTTTGACCCAAAGATATATATGTCACTTTGCCACAGAAAACAATATCCCATCTATTCAAAATTTTGAGCATTTGAAGAGAGATGAAGCCTGATTCGGCTCTTGTAGGAACCATTAATTAACAAAAAGGAAATAGAAATGAATAGAGAATTGCAACCCATAGAAGATGCAAATTTTGTACTATACAACACTGCTAGAGAATTGTGCTTGTTTGGGCTTCTTTTCGGGAGAATGTTTGAGAGATGTTCAATAGAAAGGCGACTTTAAAACTTATACATGCTATTTGAATAATCTTTGTTTTCAGAAGCAAGGTTTAATTATAGGAAAATTTAGCTTTATAGACAACAAGTCCAATAGACCAAAAACACTTTTGGGTGGTGGTAATCTAGAATATCAACATTTTGAGCATCCCAGACGCAGTTTAGAGAGTGCAGAACAATCTACATCATCAATCTCGGGTACAAAACATAATCACTGGTGATGTTACAGACAGAGGAACCTTTGTGACTGAGCCCTTCAACTGATCACTGATGGGGAGAAGTCTTTACAATTAATCTTTATCACAGCAGGTGTAAGTCAAGGTTTTAAAATATATTAAAAGAATGTGTCTCAAATACTGACAATCCTTGCAAAATTTCAACAAAAAAACAAAAACCTTCTTTTTGCCTGTTCAAACAGACACCTTAAAACTTGTATATTTTCAGTATTCAGACACATAGCAACAACAGAGAGTCAGCCGCCCTCAACACTTCCTCACAGGCATAAGTGGGGTAAATATCAGGCTCTGCACCTGGCACATAAAAGACATGAACTCCATTCCAACTCAAGAAAGATACTAAAGCACTAATTTCCATTAAACCATCCCAGAATTTAAATAATCTAGACTGTGTCAATAGGGGTGTACATCACATCTACAATAACAGCACATACCTGTCCACTGTCTTTGTAGAAACTCTCGTCTTTTTGACGGCCGAAGTTCCAGATGAGCGGACCGACTTGCGTTTCATCACCTTTGAGGGATTAGTGTCACCAGGAGCCAAAGTAGCCTCTCTGGCAATGTCAGCCTTGCAACCAGACCTGTGAGAAAAAAAGCAACCTGAATCATTTCCTTAATTGGGGATTACAAACAAGAGAGGAGGAAAAGAAGGAGCATGAAAAAAAGAGGAAAAGTGAAAAGCTGTATTACACAAAAATGAGTCAGCCCTTTCAGTTCTATTTTAGTTTTTGCAAAAGTTGTACAGCACTTGCAACACAAATAGGTCATATTGATGCTGAAGATTAGAGGTATTAATACTAGTGAATATAATACAGAGAAAGGAGGAAAAATAAGGATGATAGATACCAACCACCCACAAGTCAGCCCAATATCTGCTACATTTCAACAAGAACAAAAATAAAAATTATAGTAAGGTTTGTTTCACATTTACTTAAAGAGAAGCACATCTTTATGATACCAGTATGATATAAAAATGAGAAAAGCAAGACACTGTAAAAAAAAAAAACAACAGGGGCCAGTGACAAAATAGGAATATCTAAAATCATCTACACATTTTATATTGTTAGAATTTTTCAAACCCAAATTTCAGTTTTGGATCCAAAACCCCTGGAGACTGATTAAAATTATATAACAAACCGACCATCACAAACAATCATGTGCAACAAACATGCAAATAATAATGTGTACTTTCACATCACTTCACATAAGGCACGCAAATATTTCAATTAAATGCAAATAAAAATTTGTACATTAAATACAGAAACCCATAAAAGACAAGAAAGGACAGAATGCCCACCTGGAACTACCAGACCGTGTAATCACACCGCTGCTCGCCAATACCGCTGGGGATTCCCCCATATTGCTGGACTTCTCATCTTCAGACCTGAGGTAAAAAGAGGCAGAAAGCCTGCATGTCATGAAACACTCTTGTACAGTGGGACTGGCAGGGTACAATTCTGTTTGGTACGATTGGTACGATACGGTTTTGTATGAAATAAAATCGAGCCTAAATATCTTGAACACTCAAAACTCAAATTCACCAATAGCTTGAACAATAATATGCCATTCCCCGATAAAACCACTGTATTTTCTTTGTACTGGCAGCATGCTTTTCCAACTTGGATGTGTCAAACGGCTCATCTGGAAAAGCAGCATCAAAGTTTTTCTCACATCTGTCTCAAATTCAAATAGCCCTATGCCCACGATGGAAAATGAACTTTAAAACACATACATAGTCTTCAAGAGTATCACATTAAATGAGCCCATTAGGTTCACCCCTGCACAGCGTGATTGAATAAAATTAAATAATAATGGTCTGTGTGCTAGGTGGTGGAGTTTGATCAAAGACGAACAATGTGGCGTTACATTGGGCCATATGGTGTACTAAATTATGTTTGTGTTTGTGTGCATGCATGTCAATGTGCGTGTAAGATTGAATGTGAAGATATGAATCGGGAAGTCATTAAACTGGAGGGGTGGGTGGAATGCTCTGATCAAAGCAGTGTTGGTTACATCATTATGAGCAGTTTTTTAAGGCTCATCAGCATCACTTTCTTTCCTTCCCTGTCTTCGACACCGATCATGGGACGTGCACTGTCCATCCCTCTTTCCCTTTTAACAGATTGTAAAGCACATAGAGCTTGCTGTTGAGCGGGAATTTGCGATTTGCAAATGCTGTCTATTATTATTATACCAGATACTTCTCATGACGGCAGGCAAAGAAATCGCAATTAGTTCTCTTGATTTTCCTAAATATCTCTCTTATTTTTCATTATCACGATTCACTCAAAGTATGAATGTGTTGAACACAATTGTCCACCCCCAACCTGTTCAAAACATTTATGCTCAACTGAAGTGTAAAATATAGTATGACGTGGTAGAGAGTAATATTGTATCATACGGCATGGCAATGTTCTTTAAGACATGGTATGCTATGAATCCATTCGATATTGAGTTGTACTGAATCTTATGGTAAGTAAAGGTATGGTACAGTAGTATTTGGAGTAACACTATTATGTGAGGCATCATGGTGAAATGAGGCGCTCGTCAAAATAATGAAATCGAAGAAACTGTCACTTTTCCTCTTGTTCAGCAGTTTTTATCGAATTTTTGTTTTTGGGCTCAACACCTTTATCTATGTCCATTTAAAAAGATTTTTCGGTGTGGAAGTCACTGAAAATGTTGATTAAGGGTCCAAACATGTTGAGTAAAGGTCCAAAACATGTAAATTTTTAGTTTCCAAGGACTCTCAAGATATGGGAGTGACCAAACTTTGGTGGCCATTTTCTCGTTAATTTTACCCCTGAAACTAGGCGACCCCACCTCATTCAAGTGCAATTATCTCAACTTCTAATCAAGTTAGATGGGTATGTTTTTAACCAAATGCAATACAAATTAAAAAGCTTTAAGATGTTACCAATAACTCCACCTGCCCTAAAATTGGCAAACGCTTATTTCCACCACATTGCATCCGGTATATATAATGTGTGGCTCTGAGAAAACCTGTGGGAGGGCACAGAGACTTATTTTGAGATATCGCCTAAAATAGGCCTGACCTTCATTTTTATCAGAAATGAGATCACTTTTACATTGTATTTTTCAAGGATTCTGCTAAAAAACATTATTCTTAATATTTTCAGGAAAATGTTTTGAGGACATACATATATCGTTGCTGAATTACAAGGAATTCTTAAACAAGCAAGAGAAACCTTTATTCAATCTGATAAACACTTCTTTTCATGGAAGCCCCCACATATTAATAATAATTATCCAATGAAAGAGAATTTTATTGCCATTTCGGGAAAATCCAGTGTATACGAATATTTGAACACCACCAAAAGTAAGAAAAATGGCGCATCGTTTCGTTTCACTTTGAAATAGTGTATTTCATGAGTTCTGTTTCGCCTTCTCCTATTCCATTTCCAGTGGACCAAACTAAAACTGAACTACTCCTTATTGAAACTGAAATATTCCTTCAGTTCTTCTCAGTAATTTGTCTGAGTTTACAGCCATTCTATAAACACGTTTTCTGGAAACAAGTGATAGAGCTGTATTATTTACTGGTTTCTAATAAATGCAAAAAAGCAAATGGATCAGCTGGGGTGCGTATTTCACCATTGCCAAGTTCCATCGGATCGGAATAAGAGGAACCACAGATGAAAATGAATTAAATGAACAGATTGTTCAATATTTTGATACAAGAGATACAGATTCAGAATACATTGCATGGGAGGAAAAGAATTATGTACAACAGAAAACGATGAAGACCATAGCAATCTCCCCACTCATGCATGGTTCATAGGTAGTTCCATTCAGCACAATTCTTATAAAACAAATGAATACTATCAGTGTCTAGTAAATGGTTAAAAAGAAATGTCTAGACCTTTTGGTCTCTGCATGCTTCATAATATTTATTTGTTTTTTTATGAATGGCATCCCATGTTGGGTTTTTATGCAATATCTTTTCCTACATGTATATTTGGAAAAATATCAACAAATTTCTGTTGGAAAAATATTGTGGACCACAGATAGAACTAAATGATGTGGGCTATATTCTTTTAATCACTGCAGTTTCACTTGCTTGTTCTGTTTTATATATTCATATAGTTACGTAAAGTTTAAAATTTGATGCATCTTTACTTAATTCAACAATCTACCATGATAACATAAATACATCACAACTTTACTAAAATGAGAGGTATTTACCTAAAATAAGAAGCAAACAGTCCAAAAATGGCACCTCTATGCTGTGGTATCTGCATTACTTGCATCTATGCATTGTCATCTTTGAAAATTTGTTCCCAAAGTAAACAAAGCTTTAACACTTACACTGCCAGCCTATTTTGAGGCTTGTCTTTCCCACTGCCAAGAAGTTATGAGCATCGTGTGAACTTTGGGGATAAATGTTGAAAAACAAAAAACAAAATTTTTTTAATTCAAGATAGGACTCGGAAACTTTAGGATATTGTTGGACACTAAATGGACTTTGAATTTTGACCTTTTAATTGGCCTTGAATCACCTCATCTTCGCCGCCATCTTGGCTTTGACCCTTTCTTGAGGAAAAAAGTTGTACCTAATCAAAACAATCTTTTAGGGGGACTAAAAATGACTGTGGGATAGACAATTATGCGTTATATGTAAGATGACATAATGCCAGTGTAAGTATTGTGCCTTTGCTTCCTGTAAATATTATCAGATATTCACATGTGGATTCTTAAAATGCAAATGACAACAATAAAACACTATAAAATACCTACAAAGAGTTTGTCTTTTTTTATAGCCTATTTTATGTAACATGCACATTCACACTGAACTGCCTATATCTTGAGCAAGTTCTAAAACATTCCAGCCCCACTGCCTATCAAGTGTTGCACTAGCACACCTATTGGTACGGACACACCCTCTTTTACTCTACTTAACTTATTATGACACCGACAAAGGACTATGAAATAATAGCCCTATGCAAATGACTCAGGGAAGCCGTAGCAGGTTAAGGAGAAGTTTCCAGGATGATTCAGGTCATCCATGGCAGCTTAAATGTTAAAAGCTGGATTCTCAGAACTTGTTGTTAGGATCCCTGGTTATTTGAAAATGCCATAACTTTTCACAGAAATGCTCTGACAATTACACCCACATAAAGTGCAGAATGTTTGCGAGAAATTTGTCTTTCAAAATCTGCCCCAAAAAAGTCAATTTTGAACATTTTCACCACCTGGCAGGTTTTCTCAAAGCCACACACATAGGGAAAGCTAAGGGACAGAGGAGAAATTATTTAAAAAACAATACAAAGATCAGTATATGTATACCGTCCAGCATTTCCGATGCACAGGTGTCTCTTGCCCTTAATTCCAGGTGACGACGACCTGTTCCTGAGGCGTCTAGCCCTGAAGGTAATAAAAGTTAAGAAACAGCTATATATATGTGAGGCATCATGATGAAATCAGGCGCTTGTCAAAATAATGAAATCAAAGAAATACAGAATTTTTCAGGGCGTTAGGTTATTTTTTTTTTTATTCTTCTTTTTCGCGTAACAGCTTTTTTTATGTCTATTTAAAAACTAAATAAAACACATTTCAGTGTGGATTTTCTGAAAAACGTTGCATAAAGAACAAAAAATGTAAATTTTAAGTTCACGTTGACTCTCAAGCTATAGAAATCACCAACTTTGGCGGGCATTTTCTTGGTAATTTTATAGCTCAAACCAAGTGACTCCCATCTCTTCAATCGCAAGTATCTCCACTTCTGTTCAAGATAGATGTGTGTGTTCTTTCATCAAAATGTTGAAAAATGAGCAAGCTTTAAGATGATACCAAGCAATAACTCCATATATATATATATATATATATATATATATGCTACACAATTAACAAGTGCTTGATTCTGCATCATAACACACATAATAATATATTATATTATAATAATAATTAACGACTTATTGATATTAGGAAACAATTGTAAATTTAATCAAATTCAAGAGACACAAAGAAAATTTCCCACAATGTCGTCATACAATACAGACTAATTAATACAAACTATCATTTAAAGAAAACCGTACAGTAAATATTTTATGAAAGTCACCGCCATCAAAAAGGCAAAAACAGAGAGGAATGCTGCTTTGTTTCATTTAAGATATCATACTCCACCAGAAAAATTAGACCACTGCATCCTGTACCTATGAAGGAAGTTGACATGATGAAAGTATTTTGCTTAACTTAATGAGTTTGTTCAGCGCCAGGATCAGAGGACTAAATGAAATGCAGTCTTGCATGCATAAAGCAAAATGGACAAGATGTGGAAATCTTTTCATCATATGAATACAGTTTGCTATATATCTACAATATTTAAATTACAAACAGTCGAACCTGCCACCTGTACAAATAGCCACTTTCCATTTCCCCCTTTGCATTTTTTTCTATATAATTTAACAGTGTAAAACGGTAACGCATCCAACATGGTCGTAGCTACTTTATTTTATCAACTCACAGCCAAATTTACCTGCTTGAGATGGTGAGGTGTGGTCTCTCATCCCCCAACGGTTTACCGTAAATTTTTAATCGGATCTTGACGCTGTGGACGGGCCGTCATAATCCATTCATCTATAATCATTATTGCTAGTATTAAGTCCCTCCAATGAATGTTTACCCAAGTTGACTAAAAGGTAACAATAAGTTTTCAACTGCTGGTGAAGGAAGCTGGGTGGCAATTTTACAGGTTCGACTATACCTGCAAAACTAAAAAATTCCCGACCTGTTGCAAAATCTAGTCACTAGGCCTATAAAATAATGTTTTACTGTATGTGTACAGTGTATGTTTGCTACGTTGCGTGCCTGACAATAATGCTGCGAAAACTTCAAATATTATCCTCACCTGACATGCTTAACATGCTCAAAGCCAGGCATCATACTGCCTGATTCTTCCAATGTGAATCATCTAAAGAGCTCTATTCATCAATTCTCAGGATGTCCAATTTTAGTCCTTGTCCTGCACCTTAGAAAATAAAACTGACAAAATGTATCAAATTATTATTTATTTTTTGGCAAAACGAATAATAAGAGAATAAGAGACAGAAGGAACATCATTATTTCAAAAACAGTGACCAGAAATAAGAGGTGAAATTAATAAGGACCAAGATCCCACTGTCCTGTCACTGACTGTCCACATTATAGTTCACTCTCATGTCACAAGATTGTCAAAAGCAAGTGGCTATTCTCCGGCGTCGCACCGGTCAACAGATCGAACGCTATTCTCCGGCATCATGTATAGAGATGCACATGATGTCGCTTCTCCACAGCTTCCCATCTCCCCTGTCAGCACGTTACGGCCATTATTGTTGCAACTGAATTCAGTGACAGATGCGCCTTCCTGTGTTTCTGGTTGTGACTGAGGGTTGTTGGCCCTTCTGGAGCGGTCACCTCTGACACAGAAATTCCTCTTTCTTCCGTCACTGGAGCTTTCATTGAGTAGCGGCTGTGTGTCCACCCTATGGAGAATCGCATTCTGAAGAAATGTCGACCTTAATGAGTGTTAAGGCCATAACGTGCCGACAGGGGAGATGGAAAGTTGAGGAGAAGTGACAAATAAATAATAAGTGCAACTATACGTGACACCAGAGAATAGCCATCAATCTACTACGGGTTGCCCACTACAGCAGGATCGGGCGACCAATCCCAGCCGTAGTGGGCACCCTGTATACTGACCGGCGCCCACTCGCTACAACTTGTCAAAATGAGGAACGGATGAGTCTAGTCTAAATTAAATGGCTAAAATGGTGTATTTAAACATGCGTGAAAGTGACATAATTCTTACTTAGTTTTACGAACCGCAACACTGTGTCCCAACGATCTAAGAGAACTAGATCTAGAATCTAGAATCTAACTTAACTTAGCCTTACAATAGAACTAGATCTAGATCTAAATCTAGATCTAGATCTAGAATCTAGAACTTCTCCTAACCTAACCTAACCTCTGTTAATTTATTCGTATTGTGAGCCTGCTCTATAGAATAGAGTTCACTTACACTTACTCAATCACACTAAACAGACCCGACCGTTTGAAAATTCTCCTGGAGCACTAGATCTAGAGTCTAGTTTCAACATAAACCATTAAACAAGCTTTTCCATCGAAAAGTCTTCGATTTCACTGTCTGTAGACAATAAAATTACATTTTGTGCACAGTTCCTGGCCCTTGTTGTTGATGTGTGTGGTGTGTAGGGTTAGCCCAGCGAGAAAGAGATTGTACGGCCAGGTAAATGTTGGTCAGATAGGCTAGTGCTAGTAGAGCAGTAGATTTTAATATTGATAAACCAAGTCGAGTCGCTCATGTGCACATAAATACTCCAAAATGTACTGTCACAACTTCCACATTGCAATAATTACACCACCTAAAATTCTTCAAATAGCAAAATTGTCCTAATTCTCCTTCACAGTTAGTTCGTCCTGAACTGTAACTCCCCTCTCACTTCTTGTTTAGGTGGGAAATGAAGTCGGCTTTACCGGCATAATTTCGAGCATCAATGAACAACACAAATTCTGTTTTCCCGTTTTCTAGTTTCGTTTTCTGTTTACCACTCGCTGTTGGGTTGGGGTTGTTTTTTTTGTTGAAGCTTTTGAGATTTTGAGACCAACAGCAACAGTTAACAACAGGTCATCAAGATTTTGTGCACCGATATTATTGTCTGTCGATTATCATAGCAAATAAGGAAAAAAACTAAATAAGCAAGCAAAACAAAAATAAGGAAGAATTAAGAAGTTAAAGAGTTGGAAGCATAAATTTAAAAAATAACAAAATTTTAGTGATGAACAATGATTGTTGATAAAGTAGCTTTTGTAGGTGCAATATTGTTTCCATGGTATCCACAAACTTAATTTCTTTGTGTTCACTAAATGCGATCCCTCAAAAATCAAATAGAATCCAGACTATTTTTTACATTAGAATTCCGAAAAGTAACCAAATTACTAATTATAAAATCAAGTCAAAAACATTCACCTAAAGCGTGTTGATTCAACTAAAATTGAGAGGGCCAGACGTTGCTGGAGAGTTTAGAATAAAAAGGTTTAACAAATAATAATGTTCATAATTAATTGTTAAATGTTAAGCTATTTTATCAATTTTCGAAGATAATTCCACTTGGTTGGAGAATAGGCATACAGGCGGCCAGGGGCGGCTGGTGGTTTGTAGAACTGACCGGCTGTAATTCCCATCGATACCTCTTTTACGGTATACTTGAAAACAAACTGAAAGTGAGAAACTACTACCTCTTAGCCCTGCCCCTGTACATCACCCAAAGAACTACTTTGCAGACACACGCACGTAAAGTCACGACGTGCACTCGCTGTGTAAAAATAGGAAACGTGTGCTGTAACTTGATACTGTACCTTACTAATGACGCGGTCGCATGTAGATCTAGATGAAGTCTAGAACCAGACACTGCACCATTTAGTCTATTAAACACACAGCTACATACACATTGAACAAATTTAGCCCACGACCATTCCCGATCCGATTCAAAAGTTGTTCTCTTCTATGATCTTCTCTGCTCTCAGAACACTGCTTTTTAGAGAACTGTGTCAAATGCTAATTATAGAAATTTTAGTCTAGCTGGGGTGAAGGTGGAAGAGAGGAAAGGAGGGAAAGGGGAAAAGGGCGGAGGAGGAGGAGGGTGTATTGTTTTAGGCCCAGACCCTGACAGCTGTTAAAATTCCCTCTATAACATTACTGGGCGGAACGGGGGGATCGCCGGTCCAGGGTCCTGGCCAAGTAAGGTAACTCCGGGAAATAGGTGACGGAGAGAACGCAAAACAGAACCATGGATGGCTTATAAAACTCAATAGAAATAATTATGCTAACAATATAAGTACAAGCAGTAATAAGAGACAGGTTGAATGATGAATGTAACTGATGAAATTATGTAAAATAATATGTATTAGTACTGCAGAAGTGTTCTTCTTTTGTAAGTAACAGAGAGGCCAATTGGCAATTAGAAGCCGTCTGTTTAGCTCTCTGGGCAAAACCTGAATTCGCCCGGAGGCTGATGTCACTGCAGCGCTGGCGCTGTTCGGAAAGGCCTCGCGGCCTCGCGCCCCGTGCAGATAAATTTCACATTGTGACAGGGGCGATTTACATACGAGCCGGCGTGAAAAGCAAAGATGACAGAACGAGTTTCTGTAGTGCGACAACACACTAAAGAACCACTATTGTCTCTTAGAGTGCCTTCAAATCAGCCGAGTGCTTTTTTACCGTTGATTAGATATTAATGTGTATTTATTTGAAACAAAATAAAAATTGTCGTAAGCAATCATTCTTTTGTCCACTGTACTGCCGACAAAAACTGACCGGCGCCGCCGGTATTGCCCAGTGAAAGAACCGCACCTGCAGGCGGCACAATGCCATAGCTGCTCCTCGTCCCTCCTCTCCAGGATCCATGAAAGGGCCATATGCTTGCTTCTCGTGCAAGTTATCAGCTGGTTGGGTATTTTTCTGGCTTTCCGCACAGTTTGCTGTCTCTCTCCGATCCTCTAGAGACACTGTGGATAGCGTCCCTCAGTCTTTCCATTAGTGAGTGATGGGGTGCCTTCATCTTCTCTGTGGTCATTGAACCATGCTGTCAATGGCGCCATGACTGTTGGTGGATCAGACTGCCATGGTGCCGCCAATCTCAGTCTCAGCCTGGTCGGCTAGCTTATCAGCACGTTCATTGCCTTGAACTCCTGCATGACCAGGGCTAAAGATCCATACAATCTTCGTGAGTCTGCTGCTTCGTACCGTATTGCCTCTCGCTAGCCTGCATACATCATGTATTTCTTGACTATTTCGAGGGTACCCATCGATCAAGTCAGTGACACATGGCAGACTGATACTCCGTCGTCTTAGGGTTTCTGTGATGGCTTTCATCTTCATGTACATGCTGGACGAGGTTTTCTAGTGGCGCCTGGCAGCTCTCGCTCTCTGTATATAATAACCCCGTTTACACGGGCGCTGAAAGTGAAAGCCCACCCAGATTGGTTCTGTGCACAACTGATCCATCTGTGAAGATGACTACGTCGTCTTGTTCACAGTTCTCCTCTTATACAGCGTCTCTACCTCGGCACTGGCTGCTCCCTCTGGCCACTCACAACATTCTCTGCCCAGGTTGCTATCACTCGAGTTAACGAGTATACTGCCCAAGTGTGTCTGTGACGCTGACCCGTGCACTGCTCTTTCGGATGTTTTGCACTTAACTACATTTAGCCAAAGTCGTCGCTGCCTCATTCATCCATTTAGTCCTTCTAATCAGACGTGCGTGTGCAGTTCTTCCCACATTTGTCAAGCAGGTGGTGCTGATCATCGGTGCTGACTCTCAAGTATGCTTTTATCTGAGAAGTCTTGAGACGTTCTACCATGGCTGGGAGGTCCAGGAGATAGTGCACAGCCTCGCAGGGCGTATCTCGTGTGCACCAGAAAACAGTCCGCATACCTTCCTTCTGAATTATTTCAATGCGTTTCATTCAACTGCGACGTTGACAAGGTGAGGAGATCGAGGCCATAGTCTATCACAGACGGCACAAGAGTCTGGAGAGAATGGCTAAAATTATTTGTGATATTCTGCTATACGCCATTGTTTTCAGTGCCGTCAGACCTTTTCTGGCTCTTGTGACGATCCTGGTTAATGTGATCTTTACCTTAGAGTGATTTGTCAAAGGTGGTACCCAGATACCCCAGTGAGTGCTCACGCTTCAGGACTCTGTCGAAGATGGTGACTGTGGGCATCTTTGCTTTCACTGCGTGATTATTCAGCGAGTATCACAGCACACAGGCCTTGTCGGTGTGGAGTTTGCTGTTGTGATCTACACACCATTGCCCTATTCGATCCAGCTCCTGTTGCTCCGCGTTAGCTGTTTCTTGCCGGTCCTTACCCTGTCTGTACTGTATACACAAGAACATAATCCGCAAAGCTCAGCACACACCCTGGGCCTTCCAGTTGTCCAGAAGTGCTTCCAACTGTGAATATGCTGAATAACACTGGTGAGAGTGTTGATCCCTGCGGCAACCCCGGTGTGATGCTTCTGGTCTCAGATGTCGTCCAGTTTCCCAGCCTCAACTTTCCTCTTCAGCAATGCCTCAACTACCCATATCACAAGCTGGGGTCTAATCTTCAGCCGGTAAAATTTTCGAAGATATGTTATGATGATATTGAGCCTATATTTTATAATTTTCGTGTTGATGCCTCTGCAGAGATCTATGGAAACCTAGAAAGAGAAGAGAATAATTATGTCGCCACAGTTACATTGAAGAAGTTGGACATGGAACCAAACGATCTGAAGAAAGGATCCAAGAAATAAGAAACTAGGAAGCTACAAAGTTCGTTCGGGCGCCGGCTATTTATTATTATCTCTGTTACCTAACACAAAATCCTGTAACAGATGGAATCAAAGTTGATTGTAAGGGGGTCATGATTGCTAAATTCTATGCTTTCTCTCCATCTCTCACGGGCTGATTTGTTTTGGTTGTTTTTTTTTACCTGTACTACTGTAAGGACTAGTAGAAGCGACGACCTCCAGATACTACTTATATTATTCACCCAGTTGAGCCATGTCCCTTAAAATTAGATGTCTATATAATTCTGTGTATATTGGGCCTCGCTAGCTTAGAATTTTCAAATATAATGCTAGAGTAGAGATGACCAGGGTCTGAATCACTGACTGCAATAAAAAAAAAATTTTTTTAACGAATACAAGGTGATTTTTCAGGGCCCCTCGATGTCCCTGCTTGGACTGGTCCTGTCTCATGTGAACTTGGAATTTGGAGACCCTGTCATTTAGACCTACAATGTATATATATAAAGCTTTACAGTACAGTACAGTGTTCAAAGAGGCCATTAAACCCAAACCATACTAGATAGTATCTATACCATACCAACAGTTAAATTCCTTCTAAATCTAAGCGTGCAACGACACACGAGAACATTACATGTAGCCTACTAGTACTACTATGTTCGAGTGCAGGAAGATTTCCTGAGTGTAGGCGAGGTGGTCGACCCCTATCAAGTCGAGAGCGTTATGCAGGAAGCCAATTTTAGTGCTATCAGCACGTTACCTCAGAATTACAAAGTTCTATCTGACATTTTTGGCCGTTTTGAGTTTCTAAGACCATGAGATCAGAAACCAAATTAAGTGTTCTATCTGCTCTTTAAAAATCGTAAGAATATTCGGAGTCGTTATCAAGATATTATTCAAAGAACTGAATTCGAAAAAGCTTGACATGATGTCGAAACTCAAAATCTTTTACTTCAAATTTCTTAAAACTAGATAGACTAGGCTTGCCGAGCAGATAGAACTTTGTAATTCTGAGGTAGCGAACAGCAAGATGTATTTTTCATAACAAGACCCCATGACGACACCTCTGGTTAATTACATACATGTATGATGTATGTCATATATTTATTTTAACTGCAAGCCATTTACTGAAAGAGTGAGTGAATGAGAGAGAGACAGAGAGAGAGAGAGAGAAAGAGAGAGAGAGAGAGAGAGAGAGAGAGAGAGAGAGAGAGAGAGAGGGGGGAGAGGGAGGGAGGGAGGGAGAGAGAGAGACAAAGAGAGAGAAAGAGAGAGAGAGAGAGAGAGAGAGAGAGAGAGAGAGAGAGAGAGAGAGAGCTTAGAGAGAAAACAAAGAGAGAGAGACACAGAGATACAGACAGACAGACAGACAGACAGAGAGGGAGGGAGAGAGAGAGAGAGAGAGAGAGAGAGAGAGAGAGAGAGAGAGAGAGAGAGAGAGAGAGAGAGAGAGATGCTGGATAACTTAGGCTGCATGCGAGTGCGCTTGGGTATTAAAATTTCCTTGTGAGGGTGTGTGTTTGGCATTGCTGTTACTGCGTTGTTGATCATGATGCTAAATATCATATTTTCTGTTGGAGCTAACGAAAAGCACATAGTCGATTTATTCTAAATCTAACGGACAACACGTTTATTAGTAGGTTCTATACTGTATCTTACATGTGAGTGTGAGACGTTTATTTTGTAGTGGAGTTGGAGTTTTTCCTGTTTTGTTTTGTTTTTTTACCTTTTTCTTCAACGCGGCCAAGACAGTGCTTCACGTCAAATTGACTTTATCTAATGTGTGTGTATTAAAATGTGTACAAAAACAAAATGAACAAAATTACATCTTTTCATTAATTCTAGTTTCATTTTTCTCCAGTATTACAGTATAAACCAAGAAACAGCTGGCAAGCCCTAAATTTTCTCTGCGGTCTCTAATACATATATAAATAGCTCACCCCTCAATGTCTGAATGATGACTAATACATCCGCAGGAGAATTAATACTTCTCCTGTGACGATAGAAGAGTTTGAAGAATTTAAATAAAGGTTAAATATATGACTTGTGGCTTCCGTTGTGGCCGATGAGATCAATTCTGGTTGAGAAAAGTTTGCCACAATTTGAACATTTAAAGTAAAAGCGCTATAACTATAATGCCATCGTGGAGGTGCGCAGCTGCGGGCCTCTCTCTTGGTTTCAGCATTTCTTATAAGTGAAACCTCATAGTCATACGACTGACTGCCCACTGTGACTGCTGCTCTCTAGCTCGGTTTGTCAGGAGCAAGACTCTCCTATGTCGAAGGATTTATATTCTCAATGTATTGAGATATTTTCAGGGTATCTTTGCAGCACTTCTTTAAGGACACTTTCCAATTCAGAATAGAAATTAGAATAGATTCTACATACTGCCTTGGGGATTCTGATACATTGTATCAGGCATCGTTACGACATGGCAGGCCAATCGAAATTGAGTCCTTTGGAGTTTAGAAAACAGACTCTCGGCATTTGCCCTTTCGAGAACTTTGGTATTTGGTATTTTATCCAGCCATTGGTTGATGCCAGGAATTCTTTTGAGGCATTTCATGGAATGATTAAGCTTCTTGGCATGGCTTTGGTACACCGTCCAGGTCTCAGCACCATACATGTCTACATAATTGGAGCATCAAACAAAAGAACAAAGCAAAATAAAGACAAACACACACACACACACACACACACACACACAAATATCAGCTTCGAGAATGATCAAGTAAAGTATGAGCACTGCCAAATGGAGAGAGAGAGAGAGAGAGAGAGAGAGAGAGAGAGAGAGAGAGAGAGAGAGAAAGAGAGAGAGAGAGGGGGAGAGAGAGGGAGAGAGAGAAAGAGATACAGAGAGAGAGACAGGGAGAGAGAGAGATAGAGAGAGGGGGGAGGGCGAGGAAGGAAGGAGAGAGAGCCCAAAAGAAAGAGAAAGTAATACACGAAAAGGCGAATGTACATGATGTATCATTTTTATTTTGTCATTAAACAAAAAAAGTCCTTGTATAAAGCATTACAAACACACAAAAAACAAACAACAACAACAACAAAAATCACCATATCCCTGGAAGCAGTCCCTGAAATACTCAAATCTCAAACACATGGATAGCTCATACACCAAAAATGCACACATACATAAGATTATAATAATGTTGTCCGCTCATTCTTTCTTCATCTGATTGAGAAGGGAAATCACATCACGATTATTGGGCGCCAGCTTGGACATCTTGAGCAGGTCTTTTCTGCAAAGAAAACAAACATAGCATGCCATTCAATAGTGCGTATTTCAGTACATGATAATGGGGCAGGAAACATGAGAGGACTAGATGAAACCACCAAACAAACTTGCAGGCAGGTACAAGAAAGCAGATGTGCCAGTTAAGGACAGAGCGGGAAAGCTTCTCACAAATCCAGACGAACAGAAAGAACGCTGGAAGGAGCATTTCAAAGAACTAATGAACAGACCAAGGCCAGAAAAACAGTTTGACATTCCACCAGCAGAGATTGACTTGGAGGTGAGCGAAGAAAATCCCAGTTTAGTTAGAGGAGATCAAGGAGGCGAAAAAGCAGGCAAGGCGGCCTGCCCAGGCGGAATTCCCCCAGAAGTACTCAAAGCCGAATCAACACTGCGGCAGGGATTCTTCATGGAATTATTGGCAAGATATGGGACGGTGAAGAATTTCCACAGGATTGGAGAGAAGGATAGCTTGTGAAACTAGCTAAGAAAGGGGACCTGCATGAGTGTAAAAACTACAGAGGAATCATGCTCCTGTCCATTCCTGGGGACGATTTTAAGTCGTACCATACTGGAAAGACTGAAGGAAGCCGTGGATGTAAAACTAAGACAAGAGAGGAATAGGCAGGATTTCGTAAAAAGAGATCATGTACAGATCAGGTTGCAACTTTGAGGATAATACATGTAGTGGAGCAGTCAACAAAGTGAAACTCTTCCCTGTACGTTAACTTTGTTGACTACGAGAAAGCTTTTGACAGCCTATATATAAGGACTCATGCGCCACTACGGAATATCTGACAAGTTCGTGAGATTGATATATAAAGAAGCTGTATGAGGGAATGAGCTAAAGAGTTTTACTTGGAGGACAGCGGACAGACTCATTTGAGGTGAAAACAGAAGCGAGACAGGGATGCCTGCTATCGCCTTATCTCTTTTTATTAGCAGTGGATTGAATAATGAGACAGACAACATCGGGACAACGTAGTGGCATTCGGTGGACCCTTTCCCGTCGTTGGAAGACTTGGACTTTGCCGACGACTTGGCACTTCTTTCTCACAGTCGAGCCCATATGCAACAGAAGACAGATCGCCTCAGGACCTTCTCCCGTGGTGTTGGACTCCATATTCACACGGATTAAACGAAAGTTCTTCGAATGAATGCATCCAAAGTTCCTATCACATTGCAAGGGACACCACTGGCAGATGTTGAACCCTACACCTACTTGGGAAGTGTCATCAACAAGGCAGGGGGAGCAGATGAAGAAATCAAGGTCAGAATCCAAAAGGCAAGAGCAGCATTAATCATCCTCCGGAGTGGGTATACGGATGCTTAAGGAACTGGGATTGAACATCAAGCTAAGGACCTCCAAAACAAACGTGAAGACTGTTCTAGTGTATGGTTCAGAGACATGGAGACTCACAGCATAAGCAGAAAGGAAACTGCAAAGCTTCATAAATGGATGCCTAAGAAGAATAGTGGGGATCATGTGGTAGGCCTACGACGATCGAGTCACAAATGCTCAACTGTGGGAAAGAACAAGCCAAAGGCCAGTAAAGGAATACATACAGGTGAAGAAATGAAAATGGATAGATAGGGCAAACCCCGAGGAGACCCCCGAAAGCATCATCAGACAGGCTTTGGCGTGGAATCCACAAGGAAAACGTAAGAAAGGAAGACCAAAGATGACATAAGGCGAGCGGTACATGCGGAAATGGAAAAGGAGGGGACACCGTGAAAACAGCTAGAAAAGGATGCACAAGACAGGTTTCGCCGGAGAAATGTTGTTGATGGCCTAATATGCTCCACTGGGAGTTTATAAAGGTGAAGAGAGAGACAGAGAGAGAGAGAGAGAGAGAGAGAGAAAGAGAGAGAGAGAGAAAGAGAGAGAGAGAAAGAGAGAGAGAGAAAGAGAGAGAGAGAGAGAGAGAGAGAGAGAGAGAGAGAGAGAGAGAGAGAGAACAAAGGAGTCAACTTAAATCAAAATGTGCGGGACAGCCAGATTTTCTTCAGTTTAACCGGGGGTATCAAGTTTAGGAAAATAAAATTGTTCAACTTACAGAGTTTAAGAAATCGGTGATTTTCTTTTCTTTTTCAGTTTTCCGCTGTTTCCGGATTAATCGTGTTTTGATTTAAAATGTTCAGTTTACGTGGACTCCACTGCACTCTTCTTCATATATATCACTCCTCAGTTTTAGAAAGACTTTTACGGCATTTGCAACACACACAAAATCAAAAGTGACGAATATTACAGGTGTTATAGAGTAACAAGCACAAAAAAAGAAGGAGTAGAGATCAGGAAGATAGATGCTTGGCAGGAAAGAAGGAGCGAACCACACCAGAGCACTCGCCAACCATCCACATTAAATCACTCCAACTCAAGTTTTTTCGTGTCAATAAGAAGAGTGACCGGTACACAATATCAAGAGTACCGTAGGCGCCATATCATTGGCGTGCCTACGGTACTCTTAGTCTTATACATGTACTTATACCTTCATGTAGAAGCATTGGCTTGTCATTCCAGTACATGTATTATTATAATGTATTACGAGCAAAGAAAGCATCAACCGAAGCCAGCATCTATTTAAATATAATAAAATAATATGGTTTTGATTATTGAATAACTCCTGTAAAAAGGTTTAACATGGTAAACGAAGATAAAACCACAAAGTTCATTGTTTACTTTTGTAGCTGAAATTCAGTTTAGAATGTTTTTTACTCCTGCTTCGTGAAAACTGCTACGCTGACAGTGTCATACAAACTGACATGATAGCAACAGTATTTTCAAACAAGTTATATATTTTTAGAGCTGTGTATACAATTTAAAAATAAAAGTTTATGTACCTTTGTATTTGTCATCACATTCTTAAAGTTGTTTTTTTGGAACCACCCCTCGTCCCCTGTTGACAAACTTTCCTAGGGTAATGTTATGTACGAGTATCACAAGGGTCTAGCGCAATACAAAGTGGTCAATTAAAAAGATATTTGAAAAAAAATCCACCCTAGATCATTCCAACTTGTTGTTTCATACTACTGACTTCTTTGTAAAGAGTATTTTACTGGCTGTCAAGACTATTTATCATTTGAACATTAAAAAAAAAAGATCTAGATCCAGCACCTTAAACAAAAACAATATTTTTAAAATCTGACTGGTTCTGAAGTTTTCCTTCCTGAAGTTTTACTGTTTTCATGGAATAAACTCACTGGCAATAGAGCTTATTCGTACCTTTAAAATAGTTGCAGTGGAAACCTGATATGACAGGGATGGTGGGACCAGTGAAAAAGTCCTGTTTTATTAGATCCCTGTTAAATCAGAAATGCAAGGGAAGTAAGCATTTGTGGACTAATCCAGCTGTACTTATTCATGGGCAGTTCCTCATTACCTGCGCATGACACATTAAGCGTGCATGAAGCTAGGCTTAGGGCTAGATCGAAGTCTGCAGGACACGGCAGCCCTTTCTCGCTTCACCCGCTGCGTGTGCTTGCAGTGGCGTGGCTTGCATGGGTCTCTCTCTCCTCCTCCTCTCTCCCTCTCTCTCTCCCTCTCTCTCTCCCTCCCTCACTCCCTCCATCTCTCTCTCTCTCTCTCTCTCTCTCTCTCTCTCTCTCTCTCTCTCTCTCTCTCTCTCTCTCACACACACACACTTTTACTTTTTACACACTGTTAACGAGCCTTTGTCCCTGCTATTTAGTGTAACCAATTGGGCTCCGATGAGGCCGTTTTATTACCGATAACTTTTAACAGAGACAAAGAGTAGGAAAAAACGGAGTTATATATTATATCCTTGTCACTTCCTCTGAAAATCGGCCATGTTCCAGCCGCAGAAAAATTTTAATAGCGAAAAGAACTCGTTTGCATGCAAAGTCTCAGAAGGAATTTGACTTACAAAAATTAATCACGCAAGTCCCTTGACAGTTAATCTAAATATATTTACTTCTTGCGTCATTCATTCAATCTTCATCCATTCTGTCTTTTTAAAAAAAAGCATTTTCCAGTTCAAATGGATTCGGAGCCCAGATTTTACACACTATCAATGCATATTGACTTTATTACACAATGTGTTGCATCAATGACCTTTTATTTTTTTCCCTTCAGATGAGCTTTTACTAAAGCCTTAAATCATTTTGTCACACAACATGTTGTTCACTAACCAAACATTGTGTATTGCTGCTGTTTAGCACTGCAAAAATATGAAAAATAAAAAAATCAACTCTTTAAAACGTTTTAACTGCAATTTCAGGATTAAACATTTTGCTACATGTACTAAGCCTTTCACGTGTTCATTTCAACTTTTTCAAAGGAAATTCACAAAAAAGAAACTGGATACAATTATTCATTAGTGCTTATATTTTCAACTCTATTTATAATAGAATATGTTCCCAATAGATTTAGCTAGAAACATTAGATTCACCAAAGGAAAACAAAGAGTCGAAAAACAAAAAAATGGAGGCATAACGTAATATGTATGGCACTTGACAGAAGGACAAAGGACGGTAGCTTCTTAAACCCACAACAGAAACAATAAAAACTTACTGAGCATCCTCTAGTTTTCCACAAGCTAGGTAAGCTTTACCTCGCCGGTACAAACCTTTGAGGTTTGACGGGTCTAAAGTCAGAGCATGACAGCAGTTCTGGATCACACCCTGATGGTTCTCAAACTTGGCTTGGCAGGCAGCGAGATTCAGGTAGCAAATACATTTGAGTTTGTCATACTCCTCTTTTTCTGCTTGAGAAATTCCAGAGTGAGAAAATATCAGCGGAGAATATGTTGGGATTGTTATCAGATATTTGACTGCCACACCAAACTCATAGAAAGCCAGTTCTGTATTGTCCTGAAACATCTCCCGGCCTCGTTCTTTATGGCATAGAGCAAGTTCGTATTTCTCAGATGCTGATAGATCCCAAGACGGTTTTACACCTGCCAAAGAATGGAGAGTCAACTTAATGTTGACTGTTATGTTGATATTTTTGTCCTCTCCGTCTGACCCACCACAACCGCAAGGAAGATTAATTAAAAAAAGACTTTGTTCATCTTCCCTCATAGTCATTAAGCATTTTTCTAGAGTAGCCATCACAACAGTCTGTGGGGAGCCAATAATCACCTGAATGTTATCACCGATAACAAAACCAAGTTTTGATAACTTCCCATCACCCAGAGAATCGCTGGCACCAGTGGTGTCGTTTTCAGCAATGCTGACAATACAGACAGATTCTAAAAGTGGCCGATCAAATCCACGACCCTCTCTTACGGTCAATTTATGAAAATCTCCACTGGCCGACTGCCACATCTTAGATTTCTCATCACAAAGCCACTCTGCCATCACTGCTACACTGCTGAAGACTTGACACAAATTCAAAAAGTGTTGTCTGATAAGTCTGTCACAAACTTTGTTTCCCCACAGTCATGATTCATATTTGAATGAGTTGTGTTAGACTTTACATCAAGTCACCAAAGTGTCTGAAAAAGAATAACAACAAAGAAACAAAATAAAATGTACACATATAAAATCTCTCTCTAT